AACTTTAATTGACGTGGACGCGCCGAGTATTAAACTCGCGTGGACGTCAATCACAAAGGACACGTTGCCCCGTTGCAGCGTCAACGACACAAACTGGCGGGCAATAAGCGGTTATGTAGTTGACCGTACTATTGCAAGAGTGTAGCTGACCTCGTATACATCCCTCTGATCGCATTGGTATTCACAAAGTGGCTCCTACAAGCCTTAACGCATTTACGACCGTCCAAGTTTGATACCTTCGTTGTAATTTCGCTTAAGCCTCAAGCACGATTACGTTCCTTGCAATTAATAACTGCATGTTATGCAGTGTAATCAAATTCCTTTCGATATTGCCAGGGGTGAGCAATCTCACGAGTGATGTCAAATTTTGAATATAACAAACGCAATTTCATAGGCAATATTATCTGATTATCTTGACTATTCGCGTTGTAACAAGACAACTTTGTTGCATAAAGCCAAACAACTTTGTTCAGGAACTTTGTCACACATCGAATTCGGTATCATCGAGTATGTTTACTCACGAAATACAAGTCACTATGAGAGATTTTCGCGCGTACGACACTTATCGAGACAGATCACTAAATGGATATCAATATGATATCAGCTATCTGCTAACGGATTATACATGACAGGCCATACGCTATAAAATATTTACGTACGCAGGCTTTTGCTCTCAAACATGCTTCGTGAAAATTTTAACGACATCGTTATGTGCCAGTAACAATGTAACACAATAAATTTACAACCAAGCAATAAAAAACAATATTTAGTAATTTTATGTATTGTGTATTTGACATTGTACCTTGTTTTATTCTCGCGTCTTTGTCGTTATTATTATCTTTGCGTTATTGGAGAAATGACTTGAAAATATAATTTTTTTTATCATATCACAATATTATTTCTTATTACGTTTCAATTTTTTAACTTAAATTATTCAACAATTCTTTTTTACAAACAAAGCATAAATTCTTGTTTTGTATCTGTAAAGCTAACTCCATATTTGGATTAATGTATAACAGAAGTTAATCAGATTTATCAAATTAATAGTAACAATCCATCACTTGCGCTGTTACACTAGCTGTTATCTGTTATACGGGTAGCACAATTGGTTATTTGACAGCATAAGTGAGCGATATTTGTGGGATAGCAGTGCTGCAGTGGTGAATTTGCGCCCGGTAATACGATTGCGTTACTTCGTAATATATCAACATGTCAACAGCCTTCAGTTATTAAGCTCATACTTGCAACCGTGTATTAACTCCAAAGTTCTGTAGTAAAATTACATTAATTAGATTAGTTGAAAATTAATTGATATATGAGATGTTATGAGCAAACAATGGACTAAGTCCATAGTTTTTACTTTTGGTTCTGTTTTGTTTTTAATTCTATTTATAGTTTTTACGATAGGAAAAGTTTTTTTTAATATTAAGCAATTAAAGAAAAATTAACAAACTGAAAATATTTCTCCCAATCGTAATAAGAGAATTACTTTAATCAAAATCGATTTAGTCAAAATCGGTATAATAGTCGTCCAAACTTAAAGTCATAGATGATTAAGGATGATGATCGAATTGTGCGTAGCGGCGTATCAATCCCTTTTGCTATTAACTCGCAAAGCTTCATTACGGCTTCAGTGACCTGAATTCCTAGACAGTGCTATCGCAATTGAACATGCATCGACGAGTGATTAACTAACGTGTCGGTTCCATAATATCGCCAGTTCGATCAGCCTGACGATATTTGCTATTTATTTCCGGCCAGACCTTAATGGCGTTTAATTCTATGACTCGCCGTCTGCCATATCCCGCGAATACACGTCAAGGAATGAACTATCAAAGTTAGAACAGTCTACCGCTGTAACGTTGAGAGACCTTTGACATTCTGGTGAGGAACCGGCTCATTACAGTGCCTGTATCGCAGAGCAACGTACCGTATCACAGGTTCCATTACTGAAACAGTTTAGATCACGCAATCGCACTGACACTTGCAAAGGCTGATCCATTGACAAGCTTTGCTAAGCTTGATATTAGTAAGAACACGATCTCCGTAAACGTACACAGGAAATATTCTAAAGAAGTTATAATTATCAGAATATCCAAATGCAGTAACAAATAGAAACAAGTTGACGTCTGTAAAACAACTATAATGTTTATTATTTTTGCTTTTAAATTTTTAATTTTGAGAAAATTGTCATAGCATAATGATATTCATAATATTAAAAATAATCCACTGGTAAAGCAAAATTTTGATTTTTATAAAATTGCATTTATTTATTTACATTTTTCTAAATTCTATGGATTTTTTAAATGTATTACATAGGTATTTTGAAAGAATAATGCTTCATAACTGAATATACAATGATTTTGCGAAAAAATGTGCATTAAAACAAATGTATGATAAATTATTTTGTTAGATTCTATCGATGAAATTCTTTCAGGAAAGTTTATTAATTGCAAGCTCGCGCGATTCGTTTGAGTTTTGGCACTTGACGCTGACGAGTTTGCATAACGCTTAATATAAATGGAAAACCAGAGAAGTTTGTGCTCTCAATGTGTTGTCGCGATGCATAATTCATAATGATGCTGAACGGTAGCGATCGACATTTCTTTTTGAATAAATTTAATTGAAAGTTTAGTGGAATACAATTCAATAGATTGTTATGTTCTAATATAAGTATTATAAAGAACTAATAATATTTGTCTAGTTAATAATAGTATTTGTTTGCTAAATATTAGCGTTCCTTAGTATTTGCCATATATGCTATATTTTCACACATTTTAATTATTAACATCATTTACATTGCAGTCTATTTTATTTAAAAAATATCTTATATATCTGCTAATTTTATATTAGGTGTTGGAATTAATTCGTAGCGTTTTTTAATGAAAGAATGTTATTTATTTCACATGAGCATTAAAAAATACATTAATGAAAGTACTTCCCATCACTTGTAAAACGCTACGAATTAATTCCAACACCTAATATATTTAGAATATTTTGGAAAGAACATAATTTTTACCTACTCCCTTCATCCTTAATTCGAGAAACATCGCGATATAGTGTGTTGTCATGTGCATATTAAAACCATTGTTTCAACCGACTATTGATTAATAATAGCTCCCCCGAGAAAAAGGGGCAATTAACTTGTCTCTAGAGCTCTCATTTGTTCGTATGAAAAACCAATTTCGCAAATCGATTCTGCGTTTCGTGCTAAATACCTAACACACAGAGGCGTTTATTCGATTTTGAACCTGACATTTTGTTTAACTATTTTGTATAATTTTGTAATTAATTACTTGTTATCCCATTTCAGATAGATATTGTCATATTTCATTTCAAGAAAAATTCGTAATATGTTTAAGATTTTTAGACAATGTCTGGTGCTAAAATTAATAATGTGAATAAAATAATAATGTACTAAAATTTATTTTCCATGAAGCTAAAAATAATAAAACAGATATAGCTATTCTTCTTATCAGATGCTTCCGCGATTTTATGTTCCTAGGATTTTCAACGATGATGGTATTGCTTATCGAGCAGGATCCAGCGAAATACGGAATGGAATGCTGACACGGTGCTTGCAAGCGGCTTTTTCGACGCTAGTGCATTTCGCTGTATTTCACTTGGACGTTAACGATTTCCCAACGAAAACAAGATAATACTGGCTTCACGACAAAACAATCTTTAACTTTGACTAATTAAACCGTTTCCGACAGGACACATTGTAAGGTTTTACGTTTTAGAAAATAAAATTTCTCTCTTTCTCTTTATATCTATTGTGTTGCTAAAAATTAGTATAAAATAAAAAAAAATTGCATCACACATACATGTATCAATTAAACAAAAATTAATACGATTATATTATTAAAAATAAAAAAATAAAAAATAAATAATACATCAGTTTAATCGGCTTGGTCGATATAAATTCTAGGTATTAACAAGTAAACGATCATTAATTATGTTATGCAATAATGTTATGTGATAATATTAAGTATATTAATAAATAATTTTGAAATAAATTTTGTAACAGGAAATATTTCATATTCAATATTAAATCAAATATATGCAAAAACATTGTTAAATCTACATATTTAGTCACATATTAGTGGCGTATTAGTTTTCTGATGAAAAATGATTATATTCACGCCAGTATGATTAGCGTAATGAATAATTCCGTAATATCGATCGAGTTAACAAATAAAGTATATAACAAAGAGTTATCAATTTATTCGGATCGATGACGCAGATTATTAACGAGATTGTATAAATTGAAACTATTTTTTTCTGTATCATACAGTATATTATCCTTCAAAACAAGCGAATGTAATCAGCTATCCTGCCGTGGTAAATTAATTGTATGATGAATAAAAGATCAATATGAATAATCAATGACGTAAATTAAACCGATTAAACAGATTAATAACTGAAACCAATTATTTGCGGTCGCGTTTTGATTTGTAAAATGCATAAAACAAAATTGTAAGTGTGTTTTCACTTAATCATCTTAGAAGGAACGACATTCAGATGCTGCTTACAATGTCACACGCAATTTAACATTATTACAATGCTGGTCTAACGACGTAAGATATGAGCGCGAATTACCATGGAGAATTAAGACGGAGGAGGAAATTAAGGTAGCGCCCGCATAGCCAATTGCTATTCCCGTTAATTAGCAAATACGTTATCAGGGATATATAATACAAATCCAAATTAGTTGTAATTATTGTATTCAGTTTACGAAAAAAATAGATACTATAGGGAAAATAAAGAAATAGACAATTACAGAAAATAATTAATAATGAATTTAACCCGGTTATACAACAATAATTTTACACGAATAAAGATTTTAATATTAAATAATGTTCAACAAAATATAATCTAGTTTACAATTTCAATCTTATAACAGCATATAAATCATTTGAAAAAAGATCAATTTCATTTAAATAAAAAATCATTTCAAAACAGAGAACGTAAAAAATATCTTACATATGTATACTCACGTTAAATTTTCCAATCGTACACCGTTGATCAACACCAGCGAGGAACCTTCGTGTGTGCCCTCATGTTGATTAATTAATCACGTTCTCGTTATGTATACATTTACACTGAATTTACGCTAATATTTTATCAATTAGTCTCTATCCATTGTGCGCTTTTAATAATCCTTTTGCTTCTCTCCAAGTTGTTCACTATAAACTAATAATACTTTCAATCGTGAACAGCACATTTCAATCTTGCGTAATTATATCAGGATTAGCACGATCCATATTCGAATTAGTTTTAAACTATCGAGTTTAATTCTCTCGTTAGCCCCGAGTTGATCATTATTTACTAATTATTTTCACAGCGTTTACTTTACAAATTAATTTGTTTTTATGAAAATTTGGTATAAAATTTTACTGGCTGAGAAGATTGTTTAACGGCACCCTTAAATTAAATTTCATTTTTAACAATAACGTTTCCAAATGTGTTAAATACCGATTTGCGAACACATACGAGTTGGACTAAGGCGGAGCAGACATTTAATTGTCACTCCTCGTTTGTTCCCAAGATCGGAATTCTGATAACAGAATGCGAACGGGGCTGCGAACTTTCGCCCATGCTAAGTTCCCGTTTATAATTGCTATAAGAGCTTCCGATCGTTATTATTATCCCCACTGAATCAAGTCTTGAATGTAATTTGGCCAGTAACTTTCATTGAAACTGTGAGACGCACCAATTGCAAAGAAAAGACATTGAGTTAGCAAAGTTCCGTCACGTGGCATGAAAGACTATGAATGTATTATATTTTACAAATAAAATATTTTATTTTTCAGTGTAATATTTTTATAATTATTGATATTAGAAGTCAGAAATAATAAATGTCTCGTCTCATATTTTTCATTAATTTTATGATATCGAGATTCCAGTCATGAAATCGTGAAAATTAGACAATAGGGAGAGAAATTAGAGGAGAGATAACATAGCATATTAGAGAACAGAAATTAGAGAACACACATTAGAAAAAAAAGCTGATAGAAGCTTCAAAATGCTGCATTTTAAATTTAATCGATAACTACTGCCAAACTTTTCAATCATTATTATCGCACGTCGCAAATCGAGTTTCTAACGTAATTTAAGCGGGAAGTTACGCAAGAAGTTGGCGAACAGAAAAGGAAAGGAAGCGAAAGAGAGTTGGTCGAGAGGTTCGTAGGTTTGACACGGGGTGAGGGACGGGGTTGCAGGAGAGATGCGTCGTATCTTAAATTTACTTCGAGCACCTCGCCGCTTGTTTTCCGATAATGGCGAACGCACGATCGGACGTCACCACACCGGCGTTTCTTTGGCACGGATTGCACAGTGTGCAGAAATTATGTTTGCATAATTTTCAATCTTGCGATAGAAACCACCGACGTGACGTACCAACGAGAACTTGCGCGATCGTATTGAAATATCACATCGATCCACACGATTATTGTAAATAAATTGATAACCAAATGCTCCTTCAGTGATCGATAACAAAAGTCGCCGAATTGATCAACGAATTCATTTCGAAGGTAAACGGATTTAATTCTACCAATTGTCACTCACATCTAACACATTTCTCCGTCATTTCCCATAGGAACGACGGATTAATCACGCGATTATTTGCTCGTCACGACTGCTCCGGATTGTGACCGCCTGCAGCTTTACATAAATCAAGACTTTGATTTCCTTGGAACTTGTCGCACACAGAGGGTAGCCTCCCCGTCGTTCTCGACGATAGCACGACGGGAGTAGTCGACGAGCCCTCGATGTTCACCACCCCTTAAGCACGGACCGGGGGAGCGAAGGGCATCGCGTCGCGAATTGCACTGACACTCGCAGATTCTCCGTTTCCCGTAGAAGCTTCCAACACGAACCTCCTCCCTACCCCAGCGCGAGCTCTTACCCTCTTTCAACCCCCCTCGCGGGCCATGGCTTTTAGCGCAAGCGCTTGTGCTTTTCCGCGGACTGCGTCCTATCCTAATTCACATCAGCGTAAGCACGGTCCTGTCCAACTCGTGCGGGACATTGAGATTTTCTCTCTTCGTTGTGTCATCTTGCAATTCCAACAAATTATGAACGGCAGATTTTTCTTTCTTTTTTCTTTTTTTTCCTTTTTTTGATTTTTTTAATTTTTTTCATACAAAATCTCTTTTCCTAACATTCGCATTTCGTAGACGTTACGAATAAAATTTTGCTCAAGATCTTCAATAAATGTAATATCCATAATACAACTTTAATTTCCTTTGTAATAATCGTAACATTTCAATATCGCGTGTATAAAAAAATAATTCTGTCTAAATGCTCAGCCAAATTTGTGTAGTTTCGACTGACGACACAACTTCGTCGCGTTTTATTACAAACGTTACTTAATAATCTCTCAGATGACGACTGTCTTATCTCGGTACTCTGAAAATCAAAAAATATGTACCGAATCATCGCGGAATTTCTCTAACTCAAAGACGCCAGATACGAGTGAGCGTGCCACTCTTCTGTACTTTTCTTAATTATTTGGATAATTATTCTGTCGACACCTCTCAATTGTGACGAACGGTAGTCGATTGCTCAGCCCTAAACTGGGCAGAGATGATGGGTTCTTCGGAGCGAGAATAAACTAAAAAGCGAGAGAGAAAGAGACATAACGTATAAGCATTTCTAGAAGAATAATTTTCAATAAATAATTTTTCTAAAATCATAAGAAATTTTCTGTAGTTTGTGTCCTCTTACAGATAAATCAATAATTTACTTACAAGATTTAAAAGAAATTCTATCGTTCACTAAAAAAATATAATTAGTATTTGCTTGTTTCACTTCATTTAATATTTAATATGCAAAAACATAAAACTTCAAAGGTCTTGACCAGTGTTTGCTCTCTGACTTATGTACAAAATACGGTGACTGAATTATGTACATAATGATTAACCAAATGAGAGGCATATGTTGAACTGTAATTGATAATATCGCCAAAGTAAATCAATGCAAACGATTGCGGAGCGTCCGTTTATTCGATACAATTTCGCGGCAGTTGAACGGTTATTGACCACTGAAATATTTACGAGAATTTACAACTCGCTAATACGCGATGAAAATAACGGAACAATGGCTCCTATACATGATTTTTAATTCATTATCAAGTGTCATCGTGACATTGCGTTAGCTCTGAATAATTTTGTTTACGAGAGTAAATATCTGACACGCGTTACATATTTTGTTTCTGCTTATTTATCTCTCTTTCTTCTCTCCTCTAATTTTGTGTCATATGATAATATTTCGAAACAGTGTGTCAAAGGTAAAATAATCAAACGCTTAAACGATAATATCAATGACCATGAATAAACGAAAATCTACAAAATCTAAAATGCAATATTCCAAAATTCTCAAAGGAAAAAATATCCAAGAATATTTTTATTAGGCATTTGTGATATACGCGAGACGCTTAAAAAGGAAGAGCGAGTAAAATGAAGAAAAATCATTGATAATTGGCCGCGAGAGAATACTGACATGAGAAATCAGTTCGTTAAGGCTGACAAATTGAGCGCGATTGCGGTTGCAAGTCCTGGCAAACAGGTATTCTAATAAAGTGCCCCGAGGGTGAATTGCGCGTTGCGGTGATGAATTTTTCATCCATCCGCGTCGGACGTTGATCAAAACTCGGCGCGTTGCTTGCGTCAGAGGAGAGGCAACAGTTTGAGAATTAAGATTACCCTAGAGAGAGAGAGCGGCACACGCTCGTCATATTTCGACAAGGGTGGTTTATTCGCTACACTCGGCTCTCGCTGTATCTCTCATTAGCCTCGTTCCTCTAGCGACTTTCTTTCTCTCTGTGGCCGACGGTTAATAAAGCCAACTGTCCAAACCGGGCAGTTGAATTGGCCAAGTTTTAATTTCCTCGGAAACCAACGTGCTCCCGAGCAATCGTCGAACTTATCGTGGATGAACGTGTTGCAAGTTGTTGGCCGACAGATGAATTGCAGGCTGCTCGTTCGAGTGATAGTCGCAGTGGTCAAAGCGGTTGCGGTAGTCCGCGTGCGCACTGGATGTGCAACACATTAAATTTCCATAAATATGTAGCACGACGCAGCAAATTTCCGCTGGGATCCACTCAGGATCTACATACCTGCATCCGGCGAGCTTTAATTTCCCGCTTTGTCAACTGTGTATCGAGATAATCGACAAAGTTATCGCGAATGAACGCAATGCCGGTTGTTAGCGAAAGCGTGAATCCCCCGTTGTCGGCATGAGTGTTGGATTGCTCCCATGGCATTATCGCGACATTTTACTTTATAGAATAATAACAGATAAAAAAAAAGAGCGAACATACACGATGTCAAACAAAAGGCTGCTTTCAATTGTATATCGATGCATATGCATGGTACAAAACAGCTGTCATTTTACATTGTGTATAAAAAATGCAGAATAGAAAGGGAATTTATATTTATTTTACTTTAGCTTACACACAATTACATTTACAATTGACAAAGAGAGAACTCAATGGACTCGTTACGATTTTTATCTCTTTCCAACGTAGTTTACATAGAAAATAAGTTGTATCGTATCCGAGCGCTTTAAATCTTGCAAATAAGGTTGATAGAGACCCTCGAAATTTTAAACGAATTAGGTAATTGGAAAATGGACAATAAAAAGTCAGTGCAGTTAACAGTACACTGAAATTTCTTTTTTAAAAAAATTATAATATATTCTTTGATTAGTTAATAAACATTTCGACACTTTTATCATTTTGGCATTCACAAGCTATAGAGGAAAGCCTTCTATTGTGAGATAGGCGCCTAATATGAGATAGCGGCGTTTCCGCTAAACTAATTAATGCTATCTATGGGTTTCACCATGAATTTATTGTTCTTTGAAAACTATTTAGTGGAAAATTCATTAAATCGTGCATATTTAGAATTTGGATATCTTCAAGTTTCGTTGAGATAAGCTTTTAAACCTTGTTTATTATTTAATAAGTAAATATTTGGCAATAAATTTTTCATGTGGTGATAGAGTAAGAGCGTACTAATAGAAAAATACGTGATATGTTAAATTGCTTAATTACAAAAGTTAGATTTGATGATTGTATAAGACGTGGAAATCATAATATGAGATACCCAGGGTATCTAATATGAAATAACCTATGCTCTTATGTTACAGTGAAAATCGTTGGTGAAGTATAAATGTTATATACAATAATAAAAAGGAGAATCAAAATAAACATCGAGTGCCTGTTTCTGCGATGCTTAGGTCCCACTACCTGAAGGCAAGTCAGCTAAGTGCATCGCATATTCATTTTGCACGTGCACTGACTGTGATTATTTGTATTTTAGAAACATTAAATAAAATTTTTTAATTGCAATACTGATGTACTTTGAGATTTATTATCGATTTCTCGGGACATCTCATATTAAGAGCACAATTTTTTGATTTTACGATTTGCTCACTTTTTACATTTCTCTAATTTATGAAAAAAAAAATGAAATTTGAATTAAATTTTACATAATATTATCTTAAAGCTTATTAAATTCTCTTCAAAATGACCTATCATTTTTTAAAATTCTACCCATAGATTTTTAATATTTACTCAAAATAAACTCGATATCTCATAATACCGAAGGATCTTTCCTTTATATATTGGATGCCTATTTCGATGATCTTAGAAATGTTCTCATCGAAGCGAGGTAAGTCAACAATCAGTTCTTCAACTTAAATTTTTTAATGTATGATGTAGTGAAAAAATATCGTAGACACAATTAAAGATATGATGCTTTGTGAAAGAGTACAAGTTTTACACCTTTAATACACCACAGCTCAATGATTATCCATTATTGACATTTTTTACTCACATTATGAGTAACATTACACATAAAAACTAATTAATTTTATCGAGATATAATTTTCTATATATTATATTATAGTTAGTGCGAGATTCTTTCATGCATTAAATAATATTATTTAGAAAACCTATTCAATTAAATGTTTGGACACAACTCATCAATGTAGATTCACTACGTTGAAAGAAATTAAATCCGTGACGAGTTCACTGTATCTTCTCTTTATAAGATAAATAACAATATTCTAAAAAGTTTATTAAAATATTTGCACACTTTTTAAAGAACTACTTGTGTAATTATTATATAAAAATGATAATTTATGATAGACATTCCCAAATTTTTTATACGAAAGTAAAACTCAAATCTTGGTGTTAGTTTATGATTTTACCTGGTAATATCTCAATTTCAATGTACGTGCATTTCTAGCGTACATCTCTTGATGCAAAGTGTTGCACAGTCAGCATTACTGCGAAATCAACAGAAAGGTCGGCGACCAGCGCACCCGTAGTTTCACGAATTCCATCAGTCGCATGGAAACATGATGCCAGCAAGGCAATCACAGCCACGTCACGGGCACTCGTGCTCCTCCCTACATATTTTTCTCTCAATGATAACGAGGTGACCCGCGATACGTTCGTTCGCTATAAGTTTGACGAACAGAAATAAACGGCTCTCGACGAAATTAAAATTTGCGCGTCGGCGAGATATTGTCAACTGGTTTA